GACTTCTCAATCAAAAGTTATAGACTAGAAACCAATTTCGGAAAAAAATTCAAAGGGCTATAACTTTTGAACTAGTAGTCCAATCTTGCAACTGTTTGAAATTATGGATTCTACAGGCCACATTCTATAAGAAAATTTTTTTTTCGGGTCGATTGTCCCAATTTTCTTTCTGGGCTCAAAAAAAGGCAGGCATATACTCCAAAACTTCTCGGGAAAACACTTTTTCTTATTAATTTGGATGACGACATCCTATTTTGGCTAGCCCAAAGTACATCCCGAAGTAAATTCCCAGAGAAAGTTGTAATAAACATGTATGGTACCTAGTTCTTCATTTATGGAACTCAGGTATGCATTTTGTGTTATTGTTTGATTTTACTATTTTTGATTTAATCTTAAAGGTTTATCAGAGAAAGTCTACGGGGTGAAAATTAAAATGTTGGCTTTTCCTAATAAATTCTACGATGAGGAGAATTGTAAAGAAAGACTTACAAAATAGCGAATTATCGACCCAGGCGGCCATATTTAATCATTCATTTGCTACTGTTTTTCGGCAACTACCAATTTTAAAAGATTCAGGGTCGTTAACCAACATCCCACACGAATTGAAAAATGCCAGCTTACGTTTCCCAAGCCTGTGGGAAAACAGTCCATTTCCATCATTTCCATGATCGATTATGAATCAAATGGTGAACTAAGAACCCTAATAAAGCGCATGACAAAAATACTTCTCGTGGTTTTTCAACCACGTAATTTTTTAGGAAAATTCGATTTTATTTAATAAAGTCACGTCCTTTGGAAGTGCGTAACTTCAAGTGGGCCTCAAATATTATAATTTTCATGAACGATTATGATTCAAAGGGTCACTAGGAACCCTAAAAATTCGCGAGCCAAAAATACTCCTCGTGGTTTTTCAACCACGTAATTTTTTAAGAAAATTCGATTTTATTTAATAAAGTCACGTCCTTTGGAAGTGCGTAACTTCAAGTGGGCCTCAAATATTATAATTTTCATGAACGTTTATAATTCAAAGGGTCACTAGGAACCCTAAAAATTCGCGAGCCAAAAATACTCCTCGTGGTTTTTCAACAACGTAATTTTTTAAGAAAATTCGATTTTATTTAATAAAGTCACGTCTTTGGAAGTGTGTAACTTCTAGTGCGCCTCAAATATTATAATTTTCATGATCGATTATGATTCAAAGGGTCACTAGGAATCCTAAAAATTCGCGAGCCAAAAATACTCCTCGTAGTTTTTCAACCACGTAATTTTTTAAGAAAATTCGATTTTATTTAATAAAGTCACGTCCTTTCGAAGTGTGTAACTTCTAGTGGGCCTCAAATACTTTTATTTCAATGATCGATTATGATTCAAAGGGTCACTAGGAACCCTAAAAATTCCCGAGCCAAAAATACTCCTCGTGGTTTTTCAACCACGTAATTTTTTAAGAAAATTCGATTTTATTTAATAAAGTCACGTCCTTTGGAAGTGTGTACTTCTAGTGCGCCTCAAATATTATAATTTTCATGATCGATTATGATTCAAAGGGTCACTAGGAACCCTAAAAATTCGCGAGCCAAAAATACTCCTCGTGGTTTTTCAACCACGTAATTTTTTAAGAAAATTCGATTTTATTTAATAAAGTCACGTCCTTTGGAAGTGTGTAACTTCTAGTGCGCCTCAAATATTATAATTTTCATGATCGATTATGATTCAAAGGGTCACTAGGAACCCTAAAAATTCGCGAGCCAAAAATACTCCTCGTGGTTTTTCAACCACGTAATTTTTTAAGAAAATTCGATTTTATTTAATAAAGTCACGTCCTTTGGAAGTGTGTAACTTCTAGTGCGCCTCAAATATTATAATTTTCATGATCGATTATGATTCAAAGGGTCACTAGGAACCCTAAAAATTCGCGAGCCAAAAATACTCCTCGTGGTTTTTCAACCACGTAATTTTTTAAGAAAATTCGATTTTATTTAATAAAGTCACGTCCTTTGGAAGTGTGTAAACTTCTAGTGCGCCTCAAATATTATAATTTTCATGATCGATTATGATTCAAAGGGTCACTAGGAACCCTAAAAATTCGCGAGCCAAAAATACTCCTCGTGGTTTTTCAACCACGTAATTTTTTAAGAAAATTCGAATTCATTTAATAAAGTCACCTCCTTTGGAAGTGTGTACCTTTTAGTGCGCCTCAAATATTATAATTTTCATGATCGATTATGATTCAAAGGGTCACTAGGAACCCTAAAAATTCGCGAGCCAAAAATACTCCTCGTGGTTTTTCAACCACGTAATTTTTTAAGAAAATTCGATTTTATTTAATAAAGTCACGTCCTTTGGAAGTGCGTAACTTCAAGTGGGCCTCAAATATTATAATTTTCATGAACGTTTATAATTCAAAGGGTCACTAGGAACCCTAAAAATTCGCGAGCCAAAAATACTCCTCGTGGTTTTTCAACAACGTAATTTTTTAAGAAAATTCGATTTTATTTAATAAAGTCACGTCTTTGGAAGTGTGTAACTTCTAGTGCGCCTCAAATATTATAATTTTCATGATCGATTATGATTCAAAGGGTCACTAGGAATCCTAAAAATTCGCGAGCCAAAAATACTCCTCGTGGTTTTTCAAGCACGTAATTTTTTAAGAAAATTCGATTTTATTTAATAAAGTCACGTCCTTTGGAAGTGTGAAACTTCTAGTGCGCCTCAAATGTTATAATTTTCATGATCGATTATGATTCAAAGGGTCACTAGGAACCCTAAAAATTCGCGAGCCAAAAATACTCCTCGTGGTTTTTCAACCACGTAATTTTTTAAGAAAATTCGATTTTATTTAATAAAGTCACGTCCTTTCGAAGTGTGTAACTTCTAGTGGGCCTCAAATACTTTTATTTCAATGATCGATTATGATTCAAAGGGTCACTAGGAACCCTAAAAATTCGCGAGCCAAAAATACTCCTCGTGGTTTTTCAACCACGTAATTTTTTAGAAAATTCGATTTTATTTAATAAAGTCACGTCCTTTGGAAGTGTGTACTTCTCGTGCACCTCAAATACTTTTATTTCAATGATCGATTATGATTCAAAGGGTCACTAGGAACCCAAAAAATTCGCGAGCCAAAAATACTCCTCGTGGTTTTTCAACCACGTAATTTTTTAAGAAAATTCGATTTTATTTAATAAAGTCACGTCCTTTGGAAGTGTGTAACTTCTAGTGCGCCTCAAATATTATAATTTTCATGATCGATTATGATGTAAAGGGTCACTAGGAACCCTAAAAATTCGCGAGCCAAAAATACTCCTCCTGGTTTTTCAACCACGTAATTTTTTAGGAAAATTCCATTTTATTTAATATGAAAATGTAAGTGGCCCTTACGGGATGTTACACCAATAAAATCTCCTTGAGAGTGAGTGCTGCAAGGTTCGGGTTTCTGACCAAACTCTGAGAGACTAAATTTCTTTTAGAGCCTCTAAAAGCTCATTAAGGTTCTTTTGCTCACGAAATCTCTTAAGCATTCCAGCATATTAAGGATCTTTTAGAAAACCCTTGTAGTCTTAAGTGCCTTTGGGGCTGTTTGCAATTTTTCTTGAAGGGTTTTAAAAGCATATAAAAGCCTACAGAGCTTTAAGCGCTCATAACAAGTGTTAAAGGCTCTTTAAGACTCTTATAGCGTATTAGCAATCTTTTATGGCTCTTAGATTCTTAATTAAAGGCTCTCAAAACTTTATGAAAACTTTTGGTTGCTAGTAGGGACTTTGAATACTTAAATGTTTTTAACTACTTTACTACTGCAAAGGGTCTCAAAGACTTTGAGATTATAAACTATTAATGATGTCTAAAGGCTCTTCAAGATCTGTTAAGGGCCCTAAAAACTTGCATATTATGCTTCTTTTAGTATAATAGTGTTGTGAGATAAAACTAAATATTGTTAATTTATTATTACAGCAGAATAAGTGTAAAAATTCCGTGGATGAAAATGAAACGTTTCTCTTAATTGTGATGGGATGTAGTTTTAGGGGTAGCTTTTAACATTCTTCCTGCAACAAGTTGTAGAAGAGAGCAGTGCAGACAAACACATGGAACTCACTTTATGAAAGCTCATTAGAATTATTTGAGCTAGATTTGAATGACCAGTTTGGACTAGGGATCTCGTGATTGATGCAATAAGGTCCATTTATATGCTGACGATGCGGCGTTGATCGCAAGGGCAGTTCGGGCGAGTCGGCGAAATTGAACCACTTTCGGTGCGTCCCTTTCTTTCGATTACCGAAGTTTCGGTCGCACGCTTAATCGTGCCGCATTGCAGAAATGACTCAAGTTTAAAATTGGAAAGGTTACGTTAATCAATTGAATTTTCGCCTAGGAAAGAGTGGAGATAATCTCCACGCATGTAAATAATTACATTATGTATACAAACTACATGTAACGTTTTCCCTCCGACAGGCTATCCATTCCTAATTTCATTCTAAGTCGTATTTTTTGGGTAATAGCTTTTTTATTCATGAGTTAGCATGCGCTTAGGTTGGAAAACAAACCTGTACTTCCGCAATTTGTGGATATTTGAATAATGGCCGGAATATTTTTCCCACTTACGAAATGTGCAGTTTAGCAGTTGTAGACCAAATAAAAAGAACGAAGCCTTCGAGGCGATAAATTGACACACTTTCTCACGGAATGCTCCCGGCCGGAGTATTCGTCCGGTGCCGTAAACACGGGAATTTGTACCATTTGCTTCAACAGCGCAGATAAACCCCTTTCGTATCCACTTTCGTTGTTGCCCCGAATATTCAGCTTTATGGTAGAGGGAAACAGTTCTTGAAATAAGGCAAAGGAAGGACGCCACGTGTCTCCAATCTACTTTGCCATGTGTACACTAACATAAATTCAACTAAAGCGAACTATACTTTTCGTAAAAGTCCCCATAAACTCACCAGCAGTAGAAAAAATGTCGCGCTTTAAAAGTGTATTCAAGCGATTAATGAATTTTCCATTTTCAGAAACGGGGCATATCGATTTCGAGGCGTTTTGTCGCATCTGTGGGCCTTATCTCGCGACGGAGGACGACGAGGCACTCCAAAAAGAGCTAAAAGAGGCGTTTAGATTGTACGATAAAGCTGGTAAGTACTTGCATGAGAGGTATTTCTCTGATGAGATTCGCATTCCTAAGTCTTCCATTCCCATAAAAATGTCTCCAAGAGAACTTCCGGAGCCCCACAACTTAGAAAAACGAGAAGTAGTAGTGGCAGACCAGCCAGAAGGACATTTTCTCATTGCTTTGGGCTGTACCTCTGGTGAATCCAAAAGAATTACACGTCACTACAAGAAATAAAACGAAGATTTCGCAGATGGTCTGAAAACAAAGACATTTTCCAATAGATCTTGATCTGCACAATCCAAGAAAAGTCGAGATCTGATCATCTCACAAAAGGAAAGTAAAGTAATAACTAACAAACCTGGAAAAATAAGAAAATATGATATAATTAAAACAAAAAGAAAAGAGAACAAAAAAACAAGTACAAACTGTGCACAACTCTTGTACAGACAAAGCGCGTAATTTTTTAACCCCCCAATCGCTCTTTGTGAGTAGCATCTTCAGACACTCCGTTCTCGACATATTCGTACTTACAGTTTTGACCCTACGATTAGATATGCCTAGTCCAAATGTTTCTATAGCTCTTTGTGAGTACTCTTCTCGGTCATTCCAATCTCGAGATATTCGCAATGCAAGTTTTGACATCACCAATGGGTATATTTCTTCCAGACGTCCTAATCGCCCTTTGTAAGCACCCTCTTCTGACAATCCACCCTTGAGATATAAGAAATTATATCCGATTACGATAAAGGGCAAGGAGGGGGACTATGGTTGGTAGAAATTAAATCCTTTCGATGAGACCTTTCATTAGAGTACCATGAGGCATAAAATCAGTTCCGCCCCCCCCCCACCCGACTATGATCATTTTTTTAATTCTTAAAAAATGCGCTATAAATATAGAAGATAATGGAAGATTGACAAGAAGGAATGTAAGAAGAAGAAAAGGGAAGAAGAGGCAGCACAACTAGACCACCGACTCAGATGATGCCAACGTCACGAAACCCAGACACTGGTCCTACCGGAAGTCAAAAATCGTACCCTTCTCGGGGTTGATTTCATAAAGAATGCAAATCTAATCCAAAAAATCCCAGTCGTTCAATGGGGATCCAAGAAGATTTGAGTTCGAGCCAGAACCGATCCAGCAGCTCGTACGGTCTGCCACCAATCGCCACGCCCACCCACATGTCTCCAGATCCGCCCACGGGTGACCCCAGGGCAGTCAGCTATCGACACTTACGGCTGTTCGGGAGAAGTTCCATATTCGCTCGGCTGGCCTCCAGACACCGATTCAGAGCTGTACAGCATTTTGGGAGACGCGCTATCTACGCACCCGCATTCACTGAAGACACGGAGGAGACAGTGTATCGCTTTAGAAGCCGTGACCTAGGGGGAAACAACTTTGAATTTTTGGTGTACGACCCTCTAAATTAAATTGAATTAATGTGAATTAATTAGAATGAACGTGAATTAATTTAAATTAACATTAATTAATTGGAATTAACGAGAATTATAATGTGAACTAACGTGAATTAATTTGAATTAGCATGAATTAATTTGAATCTACGTGCATTAGCTTGAACTAACGTGAATTAATTTCAATTTACGTGAATTATTGTGAATTAACTTGAATATTTGAATTAACGTAAATTAATTTGAATATACGTGAAAAAATTTAAATTACCCTGAATTAATTCGAATTTACGTGAATTTGTATCAACGTAAATTAATTTGAATTAGCATGAATTAATTTGAATTAGTTTATTTGTTTAACCAGACACCGTACAGAATAAAAATTCCAATTAAATGGCCCTGAGGCTCTGAACGTTAAATTGAACTAACGTGAATTAATTTTAACTAACGTAAATTATTTTGAATTAACGTGAATTTCAATTACGTGAATTAATTTGAATTAGCACGAATTGAATTAAGGCGAATTAACTTTAATTTGCGTGAGTTATTTTGAATTAACGTGAATTAATTCGAACTAACATGTATTAATTTGAATTTACGTGAATTTGAATTAACGTGAATAAACTTGAATTAACATAAAATTACGTGAATTATTTTGAATTAACGTGAATTAATTTGAATTTTTGGTGTACACCAAAAGTGGTACTTGTTTACCCTAGACCATGACCCTCAAGCACGAGGAAGTAATGGTTCTCCAACAGCAGGAACGAGAATCGCTAAACGCCCTTCTACAAAACTACACCGACACGTTCTCCGTAGGAGGAATTCCGAAGCCGAGTCCGAAGCCATTATAGCGGTACACAATATAAGTACCAAACCGGGACCACACATTTCGGCTCCACCATACCGACTAAACGCCATTCTTGGAACTGTTTGAAATTATGGATTCTACAGGCCACATTCAATAAGGAAAATTTTTTTCCGGGTCAATCTGAGACAATTTTTTTTCGGGCCTCAAAAAAACGCAGTGTATATAACCTTCCTTTTTTATCAAAAATCGACTGCACCAAAATTTCTCGGGAAAACACTTTTTCTTATTAATTTTGGTGCGTAGAATCCAAAACAATTCGTACCTTTTCGATCAGACTTCTCAATCAAAAGTTATAGACTAGAAACCAATTTCGAAAGAAAATTCAAAGGGCTGTAACTTTTGAACTAGTAGCCAAATCTTGGAACTGTTTGAAATTATGGATTCTACAGGCCACATTCTATAAGAAAAATTTTTTTCCGGGTCGATCTGAGACAATTTTTTTTTCGGGGCTCAAAAAAGGCAGTGTATAACCTTCCTTTTTTACCAAAAATCGACTGCACCAAAATTTCTCGGGAAAACACTTTTTCTTAATAATTTTGGTGCGTAGAATCCAAAACAATTCGTACTTTTTCGATCAGACTTCTCAATCAAAAGTTATAGACTAGAAACCAATTTCGAAAGAAAATTCAAAGGGCTGTAACTATTGAACTAGTAGCCCAATCTTGGAACTGTTTGAAATTATGGATTCTACAGGCCACATTCTATAAGAAAATTTTTTTTCCGGGTCGATCTGAGACAATTTTTTTTTCGGGACTCAAAAAAAGGCAGTGTATAACCTTCCTTTTTTACCAAAAATCGACTGCACCAAAATTCCTCGGGAAAACACTTTTTCTTATTAATTTTGGTGCGTAGAATCCAAAACAATTCGTACTTTTTCGATCGTACTTCTCAATCAAAAGTTATGGACTAGAAACCAATTTCGCAAAAAAATTCAAAGGACTGTAACTTTTGAACTAGTAGCCCAATCTTGGAACTGTTTGAAATTATGGATTCTACAGGCCACATTCTATAAGAAATTTTTTTCCGGGTCGATCTGAAACAATTTTTTTTCGGGGCTCAAAAAAAGGCAGTGTATAACCTTCCTTTTTTACCAAAAATCGACTACACCAAAATTTCTCGGGAAAACACTTTCTTATTAAATTTGGTGCGTAGAATCCAAAACAATTCGTACTTTTTCGATCAGACTTCTCAATCAAAAGTTATAGACTAGAAACCAATTTCGAAAAAAAATTCAAAGGGCTGTAACCTTTGAACTAGTAGCCCAATCTTGGAACTGTTTGAAATTATGGATTCTACAGGCCACATTCTATAAGAAAATTTTTTTCCGGGTCAATCTGAGACAATTTTTTCTTCGGGGCTCAAAAAAAAGCAGTGTATAACCTTCCTTTTTTACCAAAAATCGACTGCACCAAAATTTCTCGGGAAAACACTTTTTCTTATTAATTTTGGTGCGTAAAATCCAAAACAATTCGTACTTTTTCGATCAGACTTCTCAATCAAAAGTTATAGACTAGAAACCAATTTCGAAAAAAATTCAAAAGGCTGTAACTTTTGAACTAGTAGCCCAATCTTGGAACTGTTTGAAATTATGGATTCTACAGGCCACATTCTATAAAGATTTTTTCCCGGTCGATCTGAGACAATTTTTTTTCGGCCCAAATAAAAGGCAGTGTATAACCTTCCTTTTTTACCAAAAATCGACTGCACCAAAATTTCTCGGGAAAACACTTTTTCCTATTAATTAATTAATTAACGTGAATTAATTTGAATTTACGTCGACTACCGGAAACTAAACGCCAGAACCAGGTAGCTCATACAGATGACCTCCTCCCCATCCGTAGGCCACTACGGCGAAGAACCCACCCTGAATCGCCTCCCGTTACTTTTGTACTGAAATGAGAAGGAAAATCACAGAATATGTATAGAACTGGCGCACAAAACACAAATATCTGATGATTTCAGAATTTTCACTTCTGATTGTCCTGCACCAAAATACTAACAAAAAAACGTCCACCAAAAAGCCTCGTTTAACGTCTGCTACGTCTATCTAAGACACTTCCCTTCTTTCAACTTTTCAGCTCCTTTATCATTTTATCAACATTAGCCAATCAAATCCACCGGCTTTCCTTCTCGCCTACTTAAATATGCGCCTTCGATACACTAACACATGCTTACTTACGTAGATGTTACGAAGCGACAATAAAGTTCTTATCGCAAGACCGGATTTAAATGAGATAAACTGAAAAAAAATAACTTATCACAATTACTTCCAGATGTCCCTAATCCTTCTTGTACGTAATCTACTAAACAAAATACAAGACGATTAAATGCATGGTTACATTATTTTGTCTATTTGAGTGGATACCTAAAACGAAACTTCTTTATTACGCTAAAAACCTACAAGGCGAAAAAATTTCAGGAAATGGTTATATACCGACATCGAGCCTGAGAGAAATACTCGCCGCCCTGGACGATCAACTAACCAGCGACCAATTGGACGAAATGATCGCCGAAATTGATACCGACTCGTCCGGCACCGTCGACTTTGAAGGTAAGACAAATTGCGCGAGATTAGCAGGACGACGAGAAACAACCCCTGAAAAAACATCGCAAGGGTCGGAGTTATGACGAATGACTTTTGTGTAAATTCGTCTAAACCGATACCGTCGCAGAGAGAAACTTCGTGCCCGGAAATTTGTGTAATTAACAAAAATGTTTAGAGCCCCCCCCCCCACGAAGTTTCGAGATAAATGAGCTCGCGCGCATAATTACTCAAAAGTTCTAGGGAGAGGATTTTTTTACTGCCTGTTTTCTTTCAGAATTCATGGAAATGATGAACGGTGAATAATTCAGTTAGCTGTTTACGGCTGCACTTCATGAATAATCAACCCCGCAAAAGTGTGTGTTGCTGAAATGAAGTTTTGTTGTAAACTTAACGGAAATAAATGTAAATGAGTGTGTTTCTTTTTTATTCGATTCAGTCTAGAATGGGACGGAAGAGATCAATTTAAAATTTTCTTTTGCAGCTCATTAACTATTGCTGCCGACTCTATACACGCCCCCCCCCCACTGTAAAATTTAGGGCCAAAACACAGGGTGATAGAAGTATCGGCTTGGAAAGTTCAAAATTCAGTAAATTTAGATCTGCGTGGAGGTTCGTAGTTCCCATTTACAGTCTAGCGATCGTTTTTTCTGCGTATTTAAATTCTATAGGGTGTTGAGTTCCGAAAATCGTTGGCTCCAATCCAATTAGAAGTACTTTTGCTTGCTCCAAACCACAGAATGAGGGCTCGGTTATTAGGTTGGATACGCGAGCGTAGGTATTTAATTAGGGGTAGGCCAGGGGAAGGTTTTACCCTTTTTAATATTTAATCAATGACTTTTGTAGTCAAATTTTGGAACGGTTTTCTTTCGAATACTACTCAAAGCCAAAACCAAGTTAACTAATTCTAATATTAATAATTGTAGTGCCATTTCGCGTAGTTATTGCGTCAACTTCTCTCAAACTTATCAGTAATCAATTTTGGAGATTAAATCCCGAAATTCATTTAGATTCCAGATGACCTACTTCGGTCCAATAAAGCGGCTTTATACAAAGAAATTACGGTTCGCATCCCGAAAGTTGCAACTTAATCCTTTTTATTTCGTTTCAGAAACGACCCTTTCATATTCTTAACACACGAGGAATCCTCATCGGCCGGGAATGGAAAGCGGCTTTGTTGAAAATATCTGATATTTCTTTGTGCGTTAATTATGTGTCTCTTAAATAAATACGTTGGAATCAAACTTTCCCAGCGCTAAGGGAGAAAACAATTTTTCCCCTTGCGCTATACAAGTAAGCTTATAAGTAAATAAAATACCCTTCGACATAGATATTAGACGCAACCATAAAAGCAAGATGGAACAACAACTGATAGAATGATGAAAAGAAAGGGAAGAGGAGAATTAAGAAGCGCGCAAGGAAGAAGAAAAGAGAACGGACATGAAAAAGAAAAAAGGAAATCGAAAAAGATAGCGAGGAGAACGAATAGAAAAGTAAGAATAATTGGCGAATATAAGAAAGGGACTCCGAGGGAAAAAGTATCTGAACGAAGAGGATGAAAAAGAAGACACAGACACTAAAGAGGAAGGAACAAGAAGAATGAGGATGGTGTTGAGTATGAAAGGGTTTAGAGGAAACAAGTATAAATTGTGCACAACTCTTGTGCAGATAAGGCGCATTTTTTTAACCGAAATAGCTTTTGGTTTGAGATCACTTGCAGGCGTCTCAATCGCCGTTTGTGAGTACCCTCCTCCGACAATCCGTTCTTGAGGTATAAGGAAATATACCAGATCACTATAAGAGGTCGAGGAGGAGGGCTATGGTTGGTAGCAATTAATTCCTTTCGTTGAGACCTCTTAGAGTACCATGAACGATAAAAGTAGTTCCACTTCCCCCTCCCCCTCCACCCCGTAGTTTGATAAGAGAACAGAAAGAAGGGCAGTAGTTGGTAGAAAGCGGTTCCGTTCGTTGAGACCTTTCATTAGAATACCATGAAGGGTAAAATATGTCTGTACCCCCCCCCCCCAATTTTCTAAATTTTAACTTGGCACCACTAAACGTATGCGTATGCAAAATCTGAGACCAATTGGTTGTCGTATGTGAAAGTTATGCACGTTTTACTTTCAAAAACAGCATCTCAGGAAATAATTCTTTAAAGATGCGCTAAAAAATAAAGTAGAAGAAAGGAAAGAAAACAAAAAAGAGGAAAAAAGAAGAAATAATGGAAAAAAGAGTCAGAAGAAAAAGAGCCTATTAGACATGACATGTAAAAGAATTTGAGAAAGGAGACCTGAAAAGCAAGAAAGAAGAACGACGAACAGAAGAAAGTGTGGTAAGAAGGGTGTAGCGCTAGGTGTAACGAGAGAGGAAGGAAAAGAGAACAAAAATGGAAACAACAAAAGGAGGAGACTGAAGGCGAAGTTGGCGAGAAGAAACTATTAGAGCATTGTAAAAGTAACAGAGGTGCAGAAAACGGCAAAATAGGACACAGGAAAAGTCAAACCATCGTAAATATGAAATAGAGGAAGAAAATGAAGTAGAAAAAAGGAAAGAAAAAGGAGGGGTATATAATGAGAAATGACATGTAAAAGAATTTGAGAAAGGAGACCTGAAAAGCAAGAAAGGAAAAACAAAACGACTAACAGAAGAAAGTGTCGTCGAAGGATGTAAAGAAGTAGTGAGAGAGGAAGGAAAAGAGAACAAAAATGGAAACAACTAAAGAAGACACTGAAGGCGAACTTGGCGAAAAGAAACTATTAGAGAATTGTAAAAGTAACAGAGATGCAGAAAACGGCAAAATAGAAGGAGACAGGAAAAGTCAAACAATCGTAAATATGGTATAGAGGAAGAAAAAGAAGCAGAAAAAAGGAAAGAAAACAAAAAAGAGGAAAAGGAGAAATAATGGAAAACACAAAAAGAATCAGAGAAAAACAGAAAGAGTATATGATGCCTATTAGACATGGCATGTAAATGCATTTGAGAAAGGAGACCTGAAAAGCAAGAAAGAAGAAAGCAAAACGACGAACAAAACAAAATGTCGTCAGAAGGGTGTACGGAAGTAGCGAGAGAGGAAGAGAACAAAAATGAAAACATGAAAGGGGAGACTGAAGGCGAAGTTGGCGAGAAGAAACTATTAGTGTAAAAGTAACAGAGGCACAGAAAACGGCAAAATAAGAGGAGACAGGAAAAGTCAAACAATCGTAAATATGTTATAGAGGAAGAAAATGAAGTAGAAGAAAGAACGGAAAACAAAAAAAAGAAGAAATAATGGAAAGCACAAAAAGAATAAGAGAAAAAAAGAAAGATGCCTATTAGACATGACATGTAAAAGAATTTGAGAAAGGAGACCTGAAAAGCAGGAAAGAAGAAAGAAACACGACGAACAAAACAAAGTGTCGACAGAAGGGTGTACGGAAGTAGCGAGAGAGGAAGAGAACAAAAATGGAAACAACAAAATAGGAGGAAAAACACAAAAAGAATCAGAGAAAAAAAGAAAGAGTATATAATCACTTCAGTGCTTAAATTTGAACAGTTTTTATTTTAAAAAAACAACCTTTATAAGTATAAGTTTATTAGAGTGAAAGAGAAGACCACTATAAGCGAATAAACCAACGGTACAAATGTATCGTTTAAAATTCTTGCTCTTTTATTTTTTTCCGAGGAACCATAACAATTAGAAGGGTATTACTGGCTTTTTTTGGCTAGGTTTTTGGGTACGTGGTTTCAGATTTTGTAACAAATTTCGGTAAATTCCTACCCTAACATGGTCCTGATCTTAACGAAATTTTTAGTATCATAGTTTGCCCATAGAAAATACCAAATCCAACAATATTTTTGAATATTTGAAAAACAATGCAACTGCAATTCTCACCATAATATTTTTCTACAATCTCTTTGTCTTTAAAAATTGTTAAGAATGCTTATAAGCCTCAAAAAATGTTCAAAGGCCTCCAAGAGTCCCTAAAAGTAATCTGAAGGAGTTTGTCAAAACCTTCAAGAATTTTTGAGACCTTTTAATTGGGTTTTAGGTCATAGGAGCTGTGTCGCGAAGAACATTTAGGAGCTTTGGTGATTTCTTTAAAATTTCCAAAGCTTTTCCTGTGTTTTTAAGGGCTTTCGTGAATCTTTGAGAGCTTTTAAGTGAGTATTTTCCAAAAATATTTAGAAACCTTTCGGGTGCAGGCTTTGAGGAAGGAAGACATATTTGATTCCAACAGGTAACAACCCTTATACGTAGGTATAAATACATACACATCGAAACGAAAATCGTTAGCTAGGTATTATAGCAACCCCTTTGTTCCGTCGAGCGAAGAATCATACTCGACTGGATCCATTAATCCATAAATTAAGGTGTCGAATTTTGTCTCTCCGCTATTCGGAATATCCCATTATAAAGTCCGGTTTGAATTGCAAATTATTCCTAACTTCTAAATAAACATAATGTTCACTTAATAATTTGAGCTTTTGTACTAACAAAAACGGCAAAATAAAGCCTTCATAATGCCCTAAATGAATGTAAGGAACTTTCTCATTGCCGACTCTGCAGGACACCCTTTAACGATTCAATGAGACTTCGTTCGAGAAAGCTGCCGTTCTTTCTCAAGTTTCAAATTCTCCACGCGGCTTTTGTACACATGTTCCGCCGTCTCTTTTGTTGCAAATGAAAGAATTAATGTAACGTAATCGAATACCTTCAACAGGCATTCAAGTTTGACTTTCACTCTATCTTTATGTTTACTTATTTTTCCACGCTTTTATTGTGCGATAAAACGCTCCAATGGAAGGTAAACTATCTGAATTTGTGCGACTTTTCCCAGTATAAATATTGAGTTTTTTGAAAATCCTTAATGTAATTAATCACATTAAAAAAAATTAGTAACGATCCTTATGGAAGCATTCGTAGGAATTTCTGAGTTCCCGTTAATTTTCATTAGCCCAACTTACTTGCCTTGCTAGTTGTAACGGTAATTCCTGTAGGACTTCTGCTGCAGTGATATCTAGTGCTTTAGATCGATAGTCCTGACTCAAACAAGATTGATACAATCCCCTTCTAAAAGATTCCGGCTCCTAATAAGGGTTGTTTGAATCGCACGGAAGATTCCTTTTTGAGGAACGATGCCAAATGAATCCTTATTTGGAAACCAGAAGGGTAGTATAGCGTTCGGCTTTAAGGAAAGTAGAGTCCGTGTTTTGCAACCCTGGGTAGGGGTTCAGAAGATGAAACGTGAAAGCTTCTTTGACTCCCCATACTTCCGTAATGTACTTACCGTTATAAATAATTCATTGAATTACAGCTAATTCGTCGATACGAGTGATAAATTCAGCACTAAACCAGAATAACGCTAGAAGAATTGAGGCGAGAAGTTGAGAACGAGAAAAAATTGAGCAAAGGAAATGGAAGGTAATGCCAAAGCCTGGGCCGAGTTAAATAGAAAACCATGGAGCAGCTGGTAGGATTTCAAAAATCAATTGATCAGGAAATCTGGGTCTGAACGAGTTTAAAAAAAGATTTTCTTTCATACTATCTAGTAATGATGAAGAAAACCCGAGAATAAAGAAGCAAGAACAGACAACGATGTTAGGCAAGATAATAAAAGACAGGTGAATTACATTAGAGGAGGATTCGAGAATAACAGAAAGAGAGAGGCGAAGATATGAAATGAATAAAAATCGGGAGGATTGGAGGGGGTCGAATTTCAACATTAATATAAATTCGGAAGACGGCGAAGGGGGTCCACTAGTCCATCGAAAGATTCAAAGCAGCCAGAAGCAAATAAACTTCTTTAAAAATTACTATCAAGACATCAAAATGAAACCAGAAAAGAATATAATAGAAGAAGATAAAAAAGAAATTTAAAAGAAACAAAAAGAGAGAATATCCAGAATATTTAAAGAAACAAAAGGAAGCAATGTTACTACAAGATATGGACAAGAAGTTAAAACAAGAAGTGAAGATTAAAGAAGATACACTGAAGTTGAGAGAAAAAAAGAAAAACATTCAAGAAGAAGTAAAATTAGCACCGTATTCCAAGGTACTGAGCGAAGAAGTTTTTGACGATGACAAAGAAGAAATTGAAGGTGTTCAAATGAACATACCTGCTTTCCTGCCTGCGACCAAGATGTTCGTTATACTTCCTAGTGGTGGTTTGTTTCCAGAAACCCATGGAGGTTTTTATTTGCCCATTTTCATACAAATCCCCTTGTATTTTTGGTTCAGTTGGCATCATCTCGTTTCTTCTTTTAATACTGCATGGTGGGGAAGGTAGTATTTCGCAGGTGCCTCCGTTGCGTTCTGAGGTACCATGTGTCCTAGCTCTTCATACTCCTGTATAAAGGATTTGTAACTGCATTCTACGCCCCGATCGTAGGAAAGCTTCCATTCCATTTGTAAAAGGCAGTTGCTTTGCTCTTCTTCCCGAGATAGTACTGCCTGTTAGTTTTAAACTTCCTGAAACTTCGTCAGCGTGCCATCGTCCGCGATGGAGACCAAGCGTTGTATGGGTTCACCTTCTCTCCTGGCGACCTCTGTCTTCCCCGAAACAATCCAACTCACTTTCGTATTTTGCGGCTTTCTTTCGTCCTTACTTGACCAGAAACGGCAGTCCATCAGGCCCAATTATCATGTTGTTTGGGCCAGGTTGGGCTAAGTGCCCGGGATGAATAAACTGGTAAAGATAAAGTGAGATTCTTCAAGATCAACAACTGGCTTTTGATCCCGATCTCGATTTTTTCTGGCACCGGTCCTGCACCAGTCAACCCCACGCCGAATACCTCCATGGAAACCTCTTTTCTGCGAAGCCCCAAGGCCAGAACAAGAGAAGAACATACATAAATGGCGGTATGAATGTCTTAAAAAGTTTCGCAAGCTTAAATCAGACCGAAATTTATTATTAAGGGCAGTTTAAGGGTTGGTTATAGATTATTTAAACATAATCTGTCAAATAAATAATCATAGTTGGTCTACTACGTAAAGTTACAACCCCCGGAATGTAAGAGTGCTATACATGGTGGTATGAATGACTTAAAAAATTTCGCAAGCTTAAATCAGACCGAAATTTATTATTAAAGGGCAGTTTAAGGGTTGGTTATAGATTATTTAAACATAATCTGTCAAAGAAATAAACATAGTTGGTGTATTACGTAAAGTTACAACCCCCACAATGTAAAAGTGCTATACATGGTGGTATGAATGACTTAAAAAATTTTCGCAAGCTTAAATCAGACTGAAATTTATTATAAAATGGCGGTTTAAGGGTTGGTTATAGATTATTTAAACATAATCTGTCAAATAAATAAACATAGTTGGTGTATTACGTAAAGTTACAACCTCCGCAATGTAAGGGTGCTATATATGGTGGTATGAATGACTTAAAAAATTTCGCAAGCTTAAATCAGACCGAAATTTATTATTAAAGGGCAGTTTAAGGGTTGGTTATAGATTATTTAAACATAATCTGCCAAAGAAATAAACATAGTTACAACCTCCGCAATGTAAGGGTGCTGCTATTTTGGGCACTTGAGTTCACTTCAAAGTGTAATGCTTCCCTTGGCCCGGAACCCTTGTGGCAACGCGACCCGAGTTTATTTAAAGGCTCCCATACGGCTCGAAAACCAAATGTAGCGTTAGGGTAGTAAATTCCAATGCTCCATTTGGTCCTTGGTAAGGTAAATACCGGAGTAGTATAGAACAACTTAAGACGTTCTGCAGAGGCACCTCTAAAAAAACTTTATGCGGGTCACCCTGTAATTGGGCGCAAGTCTGTTGAGGGCCCAGAACAAGAGAGGGATAATAAATAAATAAATTGGTCAAGAAATTAGAAGTATTGGAGGAGTGAAGAACTATACTACAGGATTTTAGGAACAGAGGAGAACACTTGGTTGACAACGATAGGAAGAATGAAAGTTAGTTATGAAGACCAAGAAGTGGATACAATTTTTAAGAGTTCCAAGAAGGAAGAATTATTTGAAGAACCAGTTGAAGTAATAGGCTGGAATCTTATAAACTATCAGAAAAGAAGATAATATAATATAGTGAAATGAACATTGAAGTGAAAAAGTGACGTCAAGTGAAGTCAAGGAGTGAAGATCATTTTTTTTGGTCAGGTTTATTAAAGATTTTGATTTTTACTGAAGATAAAAGAAATCAAGTGAAATGAAATGAAGTTAAGTATATATAATCAATTTTTTTTCCATGATTTTTATTATACAGTTTTAGGTTTCATAGATGGGACAAGTTAGTTTTTATGAGTTTTCTGACATTGATTTTTTAGGATTTTCACATATTTTGGGAATAGTTAATTTTTTTATTTTGCCAGTTTTAGGATGTAGGTTTTTTGAGTAGGTCTAGGAGTTTTGATTAGGGTATTTAAGAGTTTACAGAATTAGATATTTTCAAAAAATTTGTTTAGTAAAAGCTCCCGTGTCGTTTATTGTTATTAAAATCTCATCAAGTTTTCTTCGATATAAAAAAACAGAGGGGGCTATTGTAGCGAGAGCGTTAGATTTGGATTTAAATTTTTGAATTTTCCTAGGAAAAAACGTAGTGTAGAAAAATATCAAAGTTCTGAATTGGTTTCCGAAACAAATTGCTGTTATGACAGCATAAGGCAAAGCTACCATAAGAAACGCTGACTGCGTAAGTTTCTTTCATACTATTAACAACCCTAGAACTATTTGGGATTGGTAGAAGTAAAAACCTTAACCAATGGAAATTAATTGTGTGAAACATAACGAGAGTTGCAATGCTCTTTTTTAGAGCGCAGGTCGTAAGTTTAAATTCTGAAGCATGTAATACGTGTAATTTCAGACCAGTTCCTCCTCGATACTGCGGAATTTGAGTATTTTTCGATATTTCTAATAGAAGAGATACATTTTAATTTGTCGCCCTGCATTTTGCACATTCCTGATTTTCAAATGATTCGGTTAGTACATAGTATTTTTTTTTTTTTTTTTTTTTTGAGTTGGATCCATCGTTCCTCGAAATGGGGGTTGAAATATATTATGTTATCAAAAATCTCTAAACCTTCCCCATATAGTTTTATTCGTTGAAGTTTTTAAAAATAACAGCGACTATAGTTTCGGCGTACTGCCATCATCAGGCGACTAGAAGTGTATCACAATATAGCAAATTTGAAAACATTAAGAGCTAGTACTTACTGTGAAAGTTAACAGGAAAACAGTAAATTACAAACGTTGAAGACGGAGAGATTTTTGATAACATAATATAGTACATAGTAATTAAATAACTTACTACTTACCTGATACAATTAACATTTACACAGATTTGATCAAAGTTTCCCTAACCTCCTAAAAACAATGGGGTGTAAAATCGTGTATTGCAAGAAGTGCCTGAACTGTTACAAAATCCAGAGTCCGCATTAGTGAATATTCTTAGCGATAACAAAGTAACTAGCAATAATAGTAAAAAAACATGCATAAATTAATTACGGCATTAAGTAGTTGAACTAACCCATAGTGAGCAGTGCATAATTAGTCGAGCAGAAAGTCTCATGCGGAAATCACGTTGAGAACTGAAGTTAGTAACTGAGGAGGATAACGGGAAAGGGAGTAGGACAAGCAGACTAAGTCTATTCAAACTGCAAACTCTATAATACTATGTCAATATTTCTAGTAACTAATCTAAAGGTAAATGCAAAAACTCTATGTAATTCAAAACTAGTGAACTGTGTTGTTTTCTAAAAATTTACCTGACTCAGACTTCTATAGCTACTAGCGCTTCCACTGCGCGCCTGTGAACAAATACAAAGAGTTCACGATAGGTTCAGAAACTGTAAGGTGTAAGCGATCTTTAGTATAGTTTTGTAGCGTGTATAATGTTGGATGGGCGCTCTAGCATCATAGTAAAAATCGCTTGAATATGGCATGATATTATCTACAGCTACATTTGTGCAAAGTGATGAAGTGATTACTTTGTGTAACACGTTTACCAATGGTGATTATGAGTGACATTTATTAAGAAGTACAATTTTTTCCCTATGTCTACTTTTAAAAGACAAAATCTCTTCAGTAATTTTTAGCATCCAAAACTTTTTAAAACAAACTGCCATATTAATTAGTTTGAAGATTATTGCTCTGGTTTTAAGAAGTCATTTATAAAATTAGCGCTCCTCCGCAGAGATTTTGTCATTTAACAGTAGACATAGGGAAAAAACAATACGTAAATCCCTATGTCTACTTCTTAATAAATAGCACTGTTCATGAATTACATAAACTTCTAAAACTGTTTTGTGTATTGTTGTATTTTACTTAAATAAATGTAAATAAATTATTATTAGCGTTTGTTTTTCAGTCAAAATCGTAAAACGAGCTGAGACATATTCGATTTGAATGAATACAACGATCAAAGGATACAAAGGGCCTTTGCCTTTTCAGCTCATTAAATCGAGGCCGAGTCCGATTCGTCCATTGTCAATTAGTTACCTATTCCCAAAGGCCCTATTTCGTACGAAACAGAAAAGAATTCAGCGCCTAAATTCGTTTAGACAAATAAATCACGTGCGTTCGATGAAACATAAACGTCAAAGGAATTTATTATGCGTCGGAAAATGAAAGAAAAAACGCACGCTAGCTCGCAGGTTTGACGCTCGGAAAACAACTGTTCCCCGTTGAATATCCGTACGCGATTCGCAAAGAGAAAAAAAATACCGAAAGGAAAACTTGATTTATTGAAACGCCGAGAATAAAGTCTCAATTTCGCCTGCACGGTTTTGATAAATTATTTGCATTGTGTGTGTGTTCCTTTCTGATCGCTTATATTATGAAATTTGTGCAGAATCCGCCTATCGCTAAGTAAATCAGAAAAATGCAGGAAGGCTCTCTGACCACCCCCTCAGAAAACCGATTCGGAGCAACAAATCGAACGACCTATTTTCACCTCTCTCTCGCGGTGCGTATTGGATCCGAGTAACAAATGTGATGATTAATCACCGAAGAGGGGTTGCTCCGATACTGTCGCGTTCCCTGAAGGAAGCTAATGGAGTTTTGAAGGGGAAACTATCCACCTGAAATTTAATGCCACTTAAAAATGCGTTATAATGAAATTAGGGGTAGGTGAGTGTAAGGCGCCTCAAAACGACTGTATTTGTGGTGAAGTTGCCATAACTCATAACGAAAGTAACTAATTGCTAATATCCGTTTCCGCTTGAACAATAATGTATGAGTCTCTTGCACAAAAGATGAGCTTTCTGTCACTAGTTCGTGATCTCTTTCTCGCTCATGTGTTGACATGTGATAGAGAATAAAGAACTCGTATGAAATTGGTTTACAAACTAGTGACGTAAAACTCAATAAAATTGTTGAATTTTACTAATAATTACTCGGGGGTTGGCGGGGCGTTCTAGTTCTGAGTGTAGGTGGTGGAGGAAATATGGAAAAAGACCATAAAGGTTGAAGAAAAAATAGTTACAGGTGCAGAAGGGTGGAACTTGCTTAATTACACGGGGGTGGTCGGGACATTCTAGTTCTAAGTGTAGATGACGGAGGAAATAGGGAAAGAGTCCGGAGGAGTTGAAGAAAAAATTGTTGCGGGAAAAAAACTGTTGAACTTTACTAATAATTACTCAAGGGTGGTCGGGACGTTCAAGCTCGGGGTGTAGGTGGTGAAGGAAATAGGGAAAGAGACCGTAAGGATTGAAGAAAAACTGTTTAAGGGTGCAGGAGGATTAACTTTAATGACAATTCCAAAAGGGTAGTAGCGACTACTGATTCTTGATACTGGTGGAGGAGAAAATGGATAAACAGACCGTAAGGGTGAAAAAAAAATTGTTGCGGGGAAAAAAACTGTTGAACTTTACTAATAATTGCTCAAGGGTTGTCGGGACGTTCTAGTTCGGGGTGTAGGTGGTGAAGGAAATAGGGAAGAGACCGTAAAGATTGAAGAAAAAATGTTTAAGAGTGCAGGAGGATTAACTTTAATAGACAATTCCAAGAGAGGTAGTAGCGACTACTGATTCTTGATTCTGGTAGAGGAGAAAATGGATAAATTGTGGCGGGAAAAAAAACTGTTGAACTTTACTAATAATTGCACAAGGGTTGTCGGGACGTTGTAGATTGAGGTGTAGGTGGTGAAGGAAATAGGGAAAGAGACCGTAAGGATTAAAGAAAAAATGTTTAAGGGTGCGGAAGGATTAACTTTAATAGAAAATTCCATAAGGGTTGTAGCGACTACTGATTCTTGATCCTTGTGGAGGAGCAAATGGCTAAATGGACCGTAAGGGTGAAGAAAAAATTGTGGCGGGGAAAAAACTGTTGAACTTTACTAATAATTACTCAAGGGTGGTCGGGACGTTCTAGTTCGGGGTGTAGGTGGTGAAGGAAATAGGGAGAGACCGTAAAGATTGAAGAAAAAATGTTTAAGAGTGCAGGAGGATTAACTTTAATAGACAATTCCATAAGGGTTGTAGCGACTACTGATTCTTGATCTTTGTGGAGGAGAAAATGGCTAAATGGACCGTAAGGGTGAAGAAAAAATTGTTGCGGGGAAAAAAACTGTTGAACTTTACTAATAATTGCTCGAGGGTTGTAAGGACGTTCTAGTTGGGGGTGTAGGTGGTGAAGGAAATAGGGAAAGAGACCGTAAAGATTGAAGAAAAAATGTTTAAGAGTGCAGGAGGATTAACTTTAATAGACAATTCCAAGAGGGTAGTAGCGACTACTGATTCTTGATTCTGGTAGAGGAGAAAATGGATAAATGGGCCGTAAGGTTGAAGAAAAAATTGTGGCGGGGAAAAAAACTGTTGAACTTTACTAATAATTGCACAAGGGTTGTCGGGACGTTGTAGATTGAGGTGTAGGTGGTGAAGGAAATAGGGAAAGAGACCGTAAGGATTAAAGAAAAAATGTTTAAGGGTGCGGAAGGATTAACTTTAATAGAAAATTCCATAAGGGTTGTAGCGACTACTGATTCTTGATCCTTGTGGAGGAGAAAATGGCTAAATGGACCGTAAGGGTGAAGAAAAAATTGTTGCGGGGAAAAAAACTGTTGAACTTTACTAATAATTGCTCAAGGGTTGTCGGGACGTTCTAGTTCGGGGTGTAGGTGGTGAAGGAAATAGGGAGAGACCGTAAAGATTGAAGAAAAAATGTTTAAGAGTGCAGGAGGATTAACTTTAATAGACAATTCCATAAGGGTTGTAGCGACTACTGATTCTTGATCTTTGTGGAGGAGAAAATGGCTAAATGGACCGTAAGGGTGAAGAAAAAATTGTTGCGGGGAAAAAAACTGTTGAACTTTACTAATAATTGCTCGAGGGTTGTAAGGACGTTCTAGTTGGGGGTGTAGGTGGTGAAGGAAATAGGGAAAGAGACCGTAAAGATTGAAGAAAAAATGTTTAAGAGTGCAGGAGGATTAACTTTAATAGACAATTCCAAGAGGGTAGTAGCGACTACTGATTCTTGATACTGGTGGAGGAGAAAATGGGTAAATAGACGGTAAGGGTGAAGAAAAAATTGTTGCGGGAAAAAAGCTGTTGAACTTTACTAATAATTGCTCAAGGGTTGTAGGGACGTTCTAGTTCGGGGTGTAGGTGGTGAAGGAAATAGGGAAAGAGACCGTAAGGATTAAAGAAAAAATGTTTAAGGGTGCAGAAGGATTAACTTTAATAGACAATTCCAAAAGGGTAGTAGCGACTACTGATTCTTGATACTGGTGGAGGAGAAAATGAACTTTACTAATAATTGCTCAAGGGTTGTAGGGACGTTCTAGTTCGGGGTGTAGGTGGTGAAGGAAATAGGGAGAGACCGTAAAGATTGAAGAAAAAATGTTTAAGAGTGCAGGAGGATTAACTTTAATAGACAATTCCAAGAGGGTAGTAGCGACTACTGATTCTTGATTCTGGTAGAGGAGAAAATGGATAAATGGGCCGTAAGGTTGAAGAAAAAATTGTGGCGGGAAAAAAAACTGTTGAACTTTACTAATAATTGCACAAGGGTTGTCGGGACGTTGTAGATTGAGGTGTAGGTGGTGAAGGAAATAGGGAAAGAGACCGTAAGGATTAAAGAAAAAATGTTTAAGGGTGCGGAAGGATTAACTTTAATAGAAAATTCCATAAGGGTTGTAGCGACTACTGATTCTTGATCCTTGTGGAGGAGAAAATGGCTAAATGGACCGTAAGGGTGAAGAAAAAATTGTTGCGGGGAAAAAAACTGTTGAACTTTACTAATAATTGCTCGAGGGTTGTAAGGACGTTCTAGTTGGGGGTGTAGGTGGTGAAGGAAATAGGGAAAGAGACCGTAAAGATTGAAGAAAAAATGTTTAAGAGTGCAGGAGGATTAACTTCAATAGACAATTCCAAGAGGGTAGTAGCGACTACTCATTCTTGATACTGGTGGAGGAGAAAATGGGTAAATAGACGGTAAGGGTGAAGAAAAAATTGTTGCGGGAAAAAAGCTGTTGAACTTTACTAATAATTGCTCAAGGGTTGTAGGGACGTTCTAGTTCGGGGTGTAGGTGGTGAAGGAAATAGGGAGAGACCGTAAAGATTGAAGAAAAAATGTTTAAGAGTGCAGGAGGATTAACTTTAATAGACAATTCCAAGAGGGTAGTAGCGACTACTGATTCTTGATTCTGGTAGAGGAGAAAATGGATAAATGGGCCGTAAGGTTGAAGAAAAAATTGTGGCGGGAAAAAAAACTGTTGAACTTTACTAATAATTGCACAAGGGTTGTCGGGACGTTGTAGATTGAGGTGTAGGTGGTGAAGGAAATAGGGAAAGAGACCGTAAGGATTAAA